TGCATCATCCGTGATCCCCGGGCTATGCGTGAGGAGCACCACGGCAAGAATGCACAGAAGCTTATACGCAAACCCCCAACTCATTCCACGTCAATAAATGGTGTGGCATCATACATATGTTCCACGACAAGGTTGGCTGGCGCTTCCCCGAGAGGCCTCCAATACACATCGCACGTGATCACAGTAAAGAAAAAGTAACGCCCCCAATCCGGCTGCCATCCCGCGGCGGAGATCAAAGCACAACCCAAAAAGTGCCGCAAATCATCACATATTCCACACAAACCATCAGCAGCTTGCGCGGCAAATGCACAGCACGGAAGAAGAGCCATGCTCACAAACACGCAGCACAAAGACACAGTAAGAGAGGGTTGGGGGAAGCAGCACCCAAAGCCATTCTTTGTGGATGCAAATGATAATAACAACAAACACAGTGAAGCACCAGTCGGGCACCACATATGGGCCACAGACACCACCCACCCGCCCATTCACTCTTCCTCCTCCCAATGGCGTGGCCCTCCTTCACTTCCACAAACACGCCAGTCCCTCAGTTATGTGTGCCTCCAACGCAAGCACTCAAGGTGAGTTTCGGCAATCCAAAATTCAACACCTATAAAAAACAGAGGACAGGCTCGCAGAGACCACACGGCTCCTCAACGTACCCTCAAACCCTCCTCACGACTCTTTAATGCGATGGAGAGGAATACAGGCGGCTCTCGTGTCACAGAGGGCGGCCAATGGGAGCGGTGTCCACATGCAGAAAACGCCAAGATGTGAAACAGAGAAGGGAGGAGGTTCGCAGAGGACGTCACCTGCCACGCCTGACGTGCGTCGTCTCATTTGTGCAACGGAGAACCAACGACACTGCTGTTGCGGTGCCTGCCCGTGCGTGCACCTCACACTCGGGGCAATAAAAGCCTCAAAGAACATCCTGCCAAAAGCATGCAACTGGCCGTGCAAAAGATCCCGAGTCTCGTCAACGTTCCAGCAGCCGCTCCTTTGGCGAGGCGTCGCTCTCTTTCGTCCTTTTCTCCCGTGTGCCATCCTCGTATGAAATGAAAATGCCTTCCACAACTGGTGTCATCAAGCACCTCCAAATAAAATTGAAAGGATTCACGGCCTCGAGAAAAAGCATCCAAAGTGGCGGTCAAAGTGAACTCAGCAACGCATGTCATCTTCTGCAGCCGCGTGCATTGCAACTCCCCTCAGCCGCCCAGTGTTTCTTCCTTCCTTGTGGACAGAAACCGCATATTACACTTGGATCTGCTCGGGTCCTCCACAGGCTCATGTAACCGTGTCCACCCCGCCCGTGCGGCTCATGGACTGCATCACGTTTCCGCTCACCGCTGCACCACCGAATAACGTGAAACAAGGATCCCTAACACCGTATCTGTGAGGCAAGCACATGCATCACTCCAACGAGTGCCCACTGTGAAAAATCACACGGTGGCACGCACACTCTCGCTCTCCAATCAACAATTCGCCGTCAACAATCACAACGGCATTAAGAAGCAGCCTCGGGGCAATCCCTGAGAGCCGTCCCCGCCTCGGCGAGCGACCGACTCCGGGAACCCCGCACTCCAGTACCGTTCCGGGAAGGACCTCTGGCACCGCCAACCGTGTTCCCCTGTCGCGTTGACACACGGAGCCCGTTTCAGAGAAACAACAACACGCTCCATTCAAAACGTGGCTATGAGAGTGCATGGCAACAGGCGCAGGGCGCACCCTCTCAGTTTCCAGTGCCGACAAAGTAAAAGAGCATCAGTGCGGACTTGCTGCAGCACGCACAGTTGTGCTTCTGTTGTCCTCCCCCGTGTTTTTTCAATTACATGGCCCGCGCTGCGGCAACGCGTGCCCCCAGACCTCTTGGTGTTTAAAATGTGCCCCAGCACAAAGCAGCTGGTTCGGACGCTGGTCGATGCCGTCAGCCCTGCGCCAACAAAAACAACAACCCCGTGAGGGAAACATTGCTGGCTCCTGGCCTCCCCGACAATACGGAGCAATTGGCCCTGGCGCCGCGATAAGGCATTCAAGCATGAAATCGCAAGGGGAAGCAACGATGACGCAGGCACAAGGAAGCCATTCCACCCTCAATTGAATACGGCGCCCCACTCCAAGCAGTCACACGGAGTGCACTGTTTCCACAAAAGAACTTGGTCGTCGTCCATCCCTTAAAGATGCTTCGTTTAATGATGGGCCTTAGAACAAAAAAAAATAAGAGGAAATAAACAACGTAGTAATACTTCATCACCGCTGGCCATAATCATTCTCTCATACAAGAGCAATTTCCCTACTATGCCTCGTATGCACACACAGAAATCCACATGTATGAAACAACCCGCAATGTTTTTCTACCAGAAACCAAACTACCCCGTTCCCTCCATAATTTCTTCTCCGTTCACTGTTACGATCGCTCGCGTTGGACATTTTCCGCATCCGTGTGTGATGCTGCCACCTGATGCTGGTGCATCTGCA